GGGATTCCGAAAAGGATCGGTCACGTCGACAACTGCGGAAGACGGATGTAATCTACTGGGGTTTCGATCTCTGGAGAGATGCGACTGCTCTCAAAGGCAGGGTCCACGTTCAGCTAATGAAAAATCTTCCCGTAGATGGTGCTAGGTGCGCAACTACAGAGGTCGCTTCAACTTCGCACTCAATATAAGTACGTCACTAACACAGTAGGCGCTAAGATTTGGATCATCCCATGCCCAGAAAGGTCAATGCCCGCCCACTGCTCGATGTCTCGTCTATTCCGGGCTTGTGCGGTACTTCTTTCAATCTCCGCGTCTCACATTATTCCTTATTTTATCGCCTCCTAGGCTTCCACCTAGTGTAAAGCGACCAAGTTCCAATTTTCGGTGTTTTTGAAGATTTCTCTTGCTGCTTTCCCCCTTCGCTGTTCAATTTGCCTCCGTTCTTTCATATTGAAGTACCGCTTGAATTTGATCGTAGGCTTTGCCTGTGTTGGGGATGTGGACAATAGACCTTGCCCAAGTATTCTCCATGAATTCTAATGGTGTATTCTAACCAATAGAAACAGTTGCTATGCACACCAGTCGCGGGTGTATTTCCTCTAATAGAATTTCATGCCGATTTCACACAAAACGCAGCCATTATGACTCGCGTACACAGCCGTTTCGTGCAGTGATTCACGCTCTAACGTGAACGAAAACGAATGTTGGAGAACGATCAGTGTTAGTGCAGGGAGTACTGGCCATTTTTCTTTCTGGTGATGCTCCATTACCTCCGAGAAAATTCAGGATTTTAGCGGATTAGGGAACGCTTCTTGGTAGCACAATATCAGGGAAACAACTAAAGTCATGAGGGTGGAGGGTGTCCCACTACGGCGTGGGTAAGATAGAATCGTTCAACTTATGCCTATGGAGACAAAGATATTCTGGGAGAGAAGCGGACGCACGGCTTATGCCAGAACTACAGGCAGCTCTTAAAATTGATGACTATAAGCTTGTTGATCCCGTGCTCCTCACTTTACGTGATTTGCTATTCCCGGCAGGATTCCTAACGACACTGAGCAAAACTCACTCAGGAATAAAGAAATGATTCTTTCTAACCCACTACGTTTTTTGCAGTACATGATTTTATCGAGAGAAAAAGGCAAAAATGGAGAAAGTTCTCTAGATATGACTGCTAAAAAGTGAATGACAAGATAAGAGTGTGCATGGCTTATCCTAATAGTATTATACAATCCCAGACAGCTTTGGTCCGGTTACTTATGGTCGCTTATGTGTTGATAAAGGACTGTGACGTTATCGGGTTGAGTCTCCTTCCAAAATTAAGGCTATCC